CTAATGACAACCACACACTCATTTCTGCCAATTCGGATGAGTTTGTTGATAGAACGGATACGCCTTCTAGATAATTCACTAAGTAGAATCATGCCTTCAATGTTGTTGTATTCCAGCAAGCTGACATAAGCCCCCATTTCAGCAATGGATCTGACATTCACCATCACTACATCTTCCACCTCAGGAAATTTGTGTTGATAAAATCTACAACTTAGACCCGGCATTCTGTAATTTAAACAAAAGAATTAAATAAGTGTTCGGTTAAGATGAAAAAAAAAAATCAATTTCCACATCTTGCCACTGAAAGAAAAGATGAAGAAAAAAATAGTTATTAGTCTTAGTCTTCTCATCCTTTGAAACTTAAGTGGTACCAGAAAACAGATAATGTTCAGGAATCAAGCTTTAATTTTTACTTTGCTCAACATTTTTGTAATGCTTGGGTGATTCTCTGCCATTAGTTTCAGAGGAATCATAAAAAATAATGACCATCTATAAAGTACTCCAAGACCTAAGGATTAAAGGAATACCTCAAGAGTAAAATACTACTTTAAGGCATATCAAATGATGGGAAGCATCACTATTATAACTAATCAGAAAACTAAAGCTACTCTTTGCTGAAGTTAGCAAACATTGTATATGCTACCACTCGCTATATAAAGAATTTTCTACCTAAATCCTAACCAATATACCATATGATATATTGTCATTTATTATAGCCAAAATTAGTGTCACATGTCAAAGCAACAAAAACTAAAAAAATTTTAATCACAAAATAAACTAAAATGCATCCTCCTCTCATAATTTTTTTCCTTGAATTCACAATGTCCAGCTTCTCTTATCCCCAATACTCCCAAATATTCCTTTCTTTTATTGAATAGGTATACTTAATCTTGAGAATAGCTTTAATCTCCATTACTACAAAGTTCAAGTTTCTCTTAACCTCCAAGCATTAAAGATATTTACAATTATTCCCTTTGATCCACCCAACCTATTTTCAGCACTACTCCTTTTATGATCCACAAGCCTGAAATCATAATCTGGGTAGAAGCACATTTAAAAAGGAAGCTCTCAAACTAATCATGGCTGATGATTTTCATGTTTTTCTGTTAACCTTCACTGTTGTCACTGCTCAAAACTTAAGTAGTAACAGAACTTAAAGGCCTAAGAAAACCTTGTGAAAATTAATTTAATAACTTATTAATTGGCACCTGCCTATATCTTCCCAGTGGCTTCCTACTGACTTATATTATCTTTTCACTACCTACAGAATACTACATGATCTGGTCACTGCCTATCTCCTTGTGGTACAACTTTCTCCCTAGTTCTCCCCATTTTCTAGATTAAAAAAGTGAAGCACAGGTTAAGTTACTTGTTCTTTCACATACTGCTAACAAGTGATGAGTCAGGATTTGAATCCAGGAAGTTTGGATCCAGAGTCTGTCCTCTTTTTTTTTTTTTTTTTTTTTTTTTTTGAGACGGAGTCTGGCTCTGTCGCCCAGTCTGGAGTGCAGTGGCCTGATCTCAGCTCACTGAAAGCTCTGCCTCTCGGGTTTATGCCGTTCTCCTGCCTCAGCCTCTGGAGTAGCTGGGACTACAGGCGCCCGCCACCACGCCCGGCTAGTTTTTTGTATTTTTAGTAGAGACGGGGTTTCGCCATGTTAGCCAGGATGGTCTCGACCTCCTGACCTCGTGATCCGCCTGTCTCGGCCCCCCAAAGTGCTGGGATTACAGGCTTGAGCCACCGCACCCGGCCCAGAGTCTATCCTCTTATCAGTAAGACTATATTCTCTCAAAACTATTCATAAACATATTACAATTAGAAACATGTTACTGCAAAAGCAACATGAATATATACATATATATTCAGTGCTAGAGTATGTGACACCAATAAGTGCAAACTATTAGTACTCATTGGTTTAACAACAAAAAGCAGCATATTTATGACAGTAGCAGAGATGTATTTCTTTGTAGGGAATACAAAATCCCTACAAAATAGGGATTTAGCAAACAAAGAGAAGTAGACATTCAATGGCCAGAACTACCCACCAAGAAACAGCTGACTGGTTGTTTCAGTTTTAAACAGGGCTTTTCAGGGGTGGGGGTGGGGGTGGTGGGGAAACTGTTGTTGAATATGTGCATGTAAAGTTCTCAAATTTGAGAGCTAAAAAAAGTTTCAAGTTGGGCATCAAAATAAACTATGTTACAGAAATGTACGGAACAGTTTTAAGACATTTAACAGGTGAAAACCATATTTACTTACCAAGTTTCTCCAAATAGTAAAGGTGACGCTTTTAGGGGAAGCAAGGCTTAATCTGATGGTTAAAAAACATGGGCAATCGTGTAAGAGAATCCTGAAGGGATATGACTATGAATACTATTTCTTCAGGAGGCACAAGTCTCTTTGCAACATAAAGGGTAAGTAAAGGAATACTGTTGATGGTTAAGTTATTCATAGCAAAGACAGGAAGTTAAGTACAAAAAGAATCCATACCACAAAAACCTGCATATTGGTTGATAAATTTTCAACATACTGCCTAATGAAATGCTAATAACTTATTTTTTTTTTTAACTTAAAAAAAATTTGGCAATATCGAAGTCACACTAGGTGACTTCATCTCTTTATCTTTTTCACAGCATTCTGACTTATTTTATTTGGTCCTCAAGAAGTGTCAACAAGAAAGACTCTTACCAGGCCAGGCACGGTGGCTCACACCTGTAATCCCAGCACTTTGGGAGGTCGAGGCGGGTGGATCACTTGAGGCCAGGAGTTTGAGGCCAGCCTGGTCAACATGGTGAAACCCCACTTCTATTAAAAATACAAAAATTAGCTGGGTGTGGTGAGGCACCTGTAATCCCACTACTATGGTGGCTGAGGCAGGAGAATCCCTTGAACCCAGGGGCAGAGGCTACAGTGAGCTGAGATCGTGCCACTACGCTCCAGCCTGGGCAACAGAGGCTCTGTCTCAAAAAAAAAAAAAAAAAAAAAAAAAAAGACTCTTACCTAAGTTAAGTATAGAGTGGGAAACAAATTAGCAAGCAAATGATTACAATATGAAGTACTATGAAAGGAGCACAGTGAAGCAATGAACAGGAAGAAGAGGAACAGAAATACTAAATTATATAATACTTTCTTAAGATCATCGACATCAAATCCAGAATGTCTTTAACCCACAGAACCTCAATATCACAACACATTATAATACTCTTATGTGTTCTGATGTAGAAGTATCAGCCACCTTTCAAAATATATCAACCAAACTCCGGGCTAATTTCAAATACCCTGGCTAGTCAGTTATTTTGCAGGACAAATGGTAGGTAGAACTTCCTTCTCAAAACGGTGCATGGTCAAACTGCTATAATGGATATAGAAGTTCACATTCCTTTCCAAAATATATGTGATGGGGACAACTCTCGTGATAATTCTAATTTGGATCTAACACGTATTAGGAATGCTCTCTGAATGGCACTTCTTGGTATAGGAGTGCTACATAAGTAAAGCTTTTATTTCATCATTACAGTTGAAAAAGAAAGTTATCACCAAATCTCTACAAACATTACTGTTCATGAGACAACTACATCTTTTGGCACCAGATGAACTGAGAACAGGTAGTAAAGTTCTGTATAAGTCATCCCCAAACTACTGACACAGAGATTTTTCCTTGAATAACAACTCAATTGAGAGAAAATATAGACTTCTCTGCTATACTTTTTCTCGAAAAAACCATGTTTTTTGCTTAATAAAAATTTTAAAAGCCTAAATTTTGTGGATAAAGAGACCCAGGGATGACTGTGTATTTAACCCGAAAATATTTCCTTATCTTAGGCTTTTTGTTATGCTTAGCATAGTTAACCTAACATACGCTTAACACAGTTCTATTCTCATTGTTGCCAACATAAAACAAACTGATAGTAACAGTAATAAACTCAAGTCTCATTTAGTTTTGATTCAAAATTCAATTATCAGATGAAAAACTACTCGGACCCCGCTCTTTCCAACACGGTGCCCGTCCCACACGTTTCTCAGGTAAGAGTCCAGTTTGGTTTCCACTGAGAAGCAGGGGAAAATTTCGGTAGAACTGCTGGGGCGGAAGAAAAGATGGAATTCTCAGACCTGGAAAAAGCAAACTGCTCAGCGTCCTGAGCTGGGGGTAAGAGTTAGGGTGTCACGACGTTCTCCCGAGGCCGCCCCATCGTCAAGGCATTCTCACTTTCGGCATATTGTAGAGGCTGTATAATCCACTCGGCCCACTTTCCTTCACGAGATTCCTCTGCTGGAACAACGATGCCTCTGGAACACAGGATGACCTACACGGAGCCGGCGACGAGGCCCACGACAGCGCGGGTGGCGGCGGTGCTGTCCAGCCACTTCCCGCGCAGGGACGGGAAAGGGAGGTGTTAGCCCGGGGCCTACCCGCTGTCGAACACCCATGTCACTGGACACAAACGAAAGTGAGTTCTTGGAGAAACCGAGCTTGGGATTAGTCACCTGAGGTATGTGTGTGATTCCCGCAGTGGACACCAGAGCCGCCGCCTTCAATCAGAGAGACCAGACTAGCTTCTCCCTCACCGGCCGCCGATCCTCCTCAGCGTGCGCTTCGGTCACCCGACTGCGCATGCGGAACCTCCTCGTACTGCGCAAGCGCTGAACGAATAGCGACCCCTCTTCATCATTAACCATAGAGTCTGGGTCCCCCGAGAATAAGGACGAATGTACATCATGGAAGGACCCGAAAAGTACGGTTTCTCGCTATGTTAGCTTTAGCTAAGTAACATTCAAGGCGCGAGAAAGACATAGGACTCTGATTCCTTGCCCCTGAAGAATGAATCCTCGTTCACAGTTTCAGCTAACCATGAGATGGCGCTGTGACCAAAGACGACAGGTGAAGAGAAACAAGGCGTGCACGCTTCGCTCCTAGTCTGGCCTGGCACGTGCCGCGTATTGCGCAGCCTCAGGGAAGCTGGATGGGGAGGGGTTGGGAGGCGAACCGGAATTGAAGGATGGTTCCGCGGTGCGCGCGCCTAGACATCCGGGCAACGCCTCTGTTCTGTCCTCACACTTCCTCGTCTGTGACAACCGGAAGCGGAAGTGAAAATGGGTGTCCCTGCTGCTTCTTAGCAACGAGAGGGGTCAAGTGACACAACCGGCTGACTCCTGTAGAGGAAGTCACTGTGGAGGCCAGTTCTGCAGCTGTTGTAGCCTCGGTTGCCCGGCCGGGGACCCGAGCCGAACAGTTATCGTCAGAATGTCGGGCAAAGACCGAATTGAAATCTTTCCCTCGCGAATGTAAGTAAAGGAATGGGATGAGCCGCTTTCACAGGGTTAGGAACCCAGAGCGCGATCCCTTCAGACCCTGGGCCACAGTGAGGGTCCTTGTTTCTTGAGCTTTTCCCAGGCTCTTTTCTTGAGTCTAGGGCGAGGCTTCCTGACGGCCTCTTCGCACATTCCTCCTGAGTGAATCAGGCTGGATGGAGCGATCCCAGCTGTTAGGAAAAGGCGCCCGGCCGGCGGGCTTTTGTGGAGGCCCGCTGTCTTTATTCATTAATGGATTCATCCATTCCACATACCCTTACTGAGCCGGGCACTGGATTTATATAACTGAACCGTCGCCACCTCTGCCCTCACAGAGCTCACAGTTTAAGTAGCCAGACATTCGTCTGGAAAGGCCAAGGAGGTTTTAATAAATGCTCTGAGAAGGGACGTTTACTGAGGATATAGAAGAGGTCCCTAAGCCAAAGTGGGGATGGAATCGAATCGCCTTAGCATAGTCCTCGGATTCGATCTTGGATCCCCTTACTCATTTTCCAAGATCCCACCAAATGTCACCTGCTGTGAGAGGATATCCCTGTGTTTCTGAGGCACAGCTTTTGCTCTCTCACCGCTGCACCTTGTTAAGACCTGTGTTAATACCAGTAGATATTTGTTTATGTGTCTTTCTCTCCCACTAGACTGTGGGCTCTCTCCAGGATGAAAGAATGTCTTAACAATCCATAGAAGGTCCACAAAAAAAATATTTCTTGAAAGAACTCATGCTTGGGAATACGCTCAGTTGTGGGTTACCTTTCTTTTGGGGCCTGAATTCTTTGTCAGGAAAGTGGCATATCACTGTAGGTTTTTGGCTAGTTTGTAAAGAAAATTTTGACGTTTTCTCAAATGTGCCCAACAACTCGCTCCCTTTCTCCTCCTCATCCTGTTTATTTTTATTTATTTAGTTTGTTGTTTGTTTTAATAAGAGACAGGGTCTTGCTCTGTCTCCCAGGCTGGAGTGCAGTGGTGTGATCATAGCTCACTGCAGCCTCAAACTCCTGGGCTCAAGCGATCCTCCCGCCTCAGCCTCCCTGGCGGCTGGGATTATAGGTGGGAGCCACCGCGCCTGGCTTTCCCTTTTTCTTTACAGTGAGGAAGCAGAAAATCAGTTTTAACCCTGACATTTAGATCCTTTTATTGTGGTCCTATCTCTGTGGGGGTGTTTTGTTGTTTTTCCTCATTCTGTCCTTTCTCTGAGAGAATCTGAGGACGCTTAAAATAAAAGTTACATTCAAACCTGAAGCCCAGATTTGTCTCTGCCGGGGTGACTACATAGCTCTTAATGAAATGAAGTTTTTAAATTTTTTACCTTCACCTATTGACTTTCTAATAGCTGTTTGCACTAAGTAGGCAGCAAGCTAGTTGTGGGGAAATAAAGATGAGGACTATCCCGGGGTAGTGGCAACTGCAGAACTCCTAGCACGTGATGACTCAGTCAAAACTTAGGCACTGAGAGACACCGACACTAGTTTTATCTTCTAGCAGCGTAAAACCTGCCCCTAGGGTGACCCCAGCACCCCCCTCCCATTAAAATGCCTGCCTGAAAAAGCTCAAAGCTAGGAGGAGAATTTACTGTTTGTTCTAGTCAACACCTAATTGACAGACCCCTGTCCTTCCTTTTTTAGAGCATTTACGAAAAACAGGCTTACAATTGTGAATATGTTATCTCTTCCAACTCTGGTGTCCCTTCAAGTATCTTAGAGAGCCATTTCTTTGAAATGTAATCATCAGGAGGGATAGGGCCTTTGTCTCCCAGTCTGTGTGGGAGGATAGAACAATAACTTACTAATTGCCAGGTAGCATTGCGTTTACACTGACCAACCCTTTAAGTTTCTCTTTTCTCTTCTCTGACTCTACTTGTGGCTGGCTTCCTACCCCTCCCTTACTTTCTTTTTAAAATGGTCAGTCACTCTGCACAAACCAGAATTGAGCTCAGCTCTTTCCCTTGCTATCAGTGGTTTACTGAATAAAATCTGTTTTCATTGCTTTAACGAATGTCTGGATGTGTTTATCTTTGACAGCAGTCAGAATAACTTTTTGTTTTTACTTTGGAACTTTTACTTTGAGACTAAGAGGCAAAAATAGACGTCTTTAGGCTTAGGTAAGAAAAATAATAGGCTCATGAAGGTGAAAACTACTATTTGAAAGCTCTCAGCTTGCTGATTGAGAGGAAAATCAGGTGCAGGAAATAATCTCTAAATATTTTCCCCATGGCTGGCAGCAGGCTTTTTGTCATGTAGTCAGATGTCTTTGATTCAGCTGGAAGAAAAGTCATCATCCTAGCTAAAGGTCAAACTGTTTGAGTAGGACTGAGCAGCTCTGAAACAAAGGAGCAAGTTTTAAAAGCCATAGGCTAGAAAACATTGGCAGCTTGTTTCACAAACAGTTCCATTCAACAACAGTATTATTCTGTGATGTTACCTTCACCCACTTTGGTACCACAGAAAGCAAAACAATTTTAGAGTGGAAGTAGAAGACGCATGAAAAATTTGGAGTCAACAGAAGTCCATTAAATCCAGGTTCTGCTACATATTAGCTGTCAGTGTGCAAGCTGCCCTTAAGAGTTTCAGGAATTAAAATTGCCCATTTCACAGAGATACCATTCCCTAGGAGGAAATTAAAATTAACATGGTAAATTCAATTTTATCAACCAGTTTACCTTTTACTATAAACTGACTGCTATATGCAGTACTACAATTTGACTTAAATTTGATCCAGCTCTTTGAGCCCGAGTTCTAGTATTTACTGTCAACAATACAGTATGTTAAATGCACACATTGGGCTGGATAGCTCCTGCTCAGGCTGGAAACTAAACCAGCTTCACTTGATAAGATCTCTTGTGAGGCCAGTCAGTGCAGAGTGAGCCAGTGATAATTGTTGTCTTTAAGGGGAGGCACACGGTTGGGGTACAGTGAACCTAGGTTGGAGCCTTAGTTTGAGCATTGGGAAAGTCAGTGGAATCAAAAGTCTGGTTGAGGTTCCTGCCCTGCCTTTTCTTCACTAAGTAACTTTGAGAAAGTTGTTTTACTTTTCTAAGCCTCATTTTTCTAATCTTTAATTTAATGTCTAAAGTCCCTTTCAGCTATAGAATTGTCTTAGTGATCTTAGCCCTATGGTAAAAGATTCCAGTATAATCTAAGAATTTGGCCAAATGGGGTGTGTGTGTGTGTGTGTGTGTGTGTGTGTGGTTGTTGTTGTTTTGAGACAGGATTTCACTCTGTCACCCAGGCTGGAGTGCAGTGACCTGATCTTGGCTGGCTGCAACCCCTGCCTGCCGGGTTCAAGTGATTTTTGTGCCTCAGACTCCCAAGTAGCTGGGACCACAGGGATGCGGCACCATACCCGGCTAATTTTTGTATTTGTTTGGTAGAGATGGGGCTTCACTATGTTGGCCAGGTTGGTCTCGAACTCCTGACCTCAAGTTATCTACCTGCCTCGGCCTCCCAAAGTGTTGGTATTATAGGTGTGAGCCACTGCACCTGGTTTATTAGTACATGCGATTTTAAAACACCAGTCATATGAAAATATATCCCCTTAAATCACTTTGTCTAGGTTAGGTTATACTGTGTCTAGGTTATACAATCTGTTGTTGAATTTTATTACCCAAACACTTGTTTTTTTGAGACCGAGTCTTGCTCTGTTGTCCAGGCTACAGTGCAGTGGCATGATCACAGCTCACTGCAGCCTCAACCTCCTGGGCTCAATCAGTCCTCTCACCTCAGTCTTCTTTGTATCTGGGACTACAGGTGTGCCCTACCATGCCCAGGTAATTTTGGTATTTTTTTTTTTTGTAGAGACAGGTTTCACCATGTTGCCCAGGCTGGCCTTGAACTCCTGGACTCAAGCAATCTACCCACCTCAGCCTCCCAAAGTGCTGATTACAGGCATAAGCCACTGTACCACTTACCTTATTTAGAGCATTCTTCCTAAGGTCCTTCAGGTACTTTTCATTAGCTCTTTTTCCTGCCTGAAATATTCTTTCCCCAGAACTTATAACTGGTTCCTTTGGCTATTCTAGTCTCTTAAGAGAGGCTGTTCCTGATCACCCAATCTAAAGTGAACACCATGTTTGCTTCTCTCACAATTCCTTATTTTAATTTTATTGTAGCATGTGCTACTGCATGGCATGACATTTTTTTTCTTTTCTTTTTTTTTTTTTTTTTTTTTGAGACAGGGTCTTACTCTACAGCCTCAAACTGGGCTCTACTTTTTTTCATTATTAAATTTTATCTGGCATATGGCAGCAAGAACAGAAATGTCAGTTTCTGCTTGACTTTGGTATTGGGGCTTCTGATGGGGAAAAAAATTGAAACAAGGAAGTGAGGAGACTTCAGTGTAAATTTAGCTTGTCACTTCTCAGGAATCTTATATATGTCATTTATTACCTAGAGTCTTTTACAAATTAATAAAATGATTGGTGTTAGGATCTTGATGATATCAAAACATGTTAATACCACACTTTTAATAGAAAATGTGGTAAATTATTGTGGTATAAAAAATGCAGGCCAGGTGCAGTGGCTAATACCTGTAATCCCAGCACTTTGGGAGGCCAAGGTGGGCGGATCACCTGAGGTCAGGAGTTCGATACCAGCCTGACCAACTTGGAGAAACGCCATCTCTACTAAAAACACAAAATTAGCCGGGCATGGTGGCACATGCCTGTAATCCCAGCTACTCGGGATGCTGAGGCAGGAGAATCGCTTGAACCCAGGAGGCGGAGGTTTTGTGAGCCGAGATCCCGCCATTGCACCCTCCAGCCTGGGCAACAAGAGTGAAACTCTGCCTGAAAAAAATAATAATAATAATAAAATAAAAATAAAATAAAATGCAAAATGTACAAAAGAATATAGTAGTAAAAAGTAAATCCATATTTTTCATCCAGTCCCATTTATCAAAGGTAACTCTTGCCAGTTTTTCTGAATCCTTTCTAGAACTATTCTCTGCATCTATATAAGCACATTTTTTCCTTACTTTGCATAAGACTGTAATATAGACAGCACATGCCTATATACCTTCGTCTTTTTTAATGACTATTATCATTCCATCGTAGGTGAACTATGATGTATTTAGCATTTAGCTTGTTTCTCCCTTTTGCTATTACCATAATGCTGGAGTACCCATCCTTTAAACCTTGCACATGTTTTTGTACACATGTGGGGATAAATTTGTAGGATAAATTCCTCAAAGTGGAATTGTTGGTCTTGAAAATAATTGCGTTTAAAATTTTGATATATATTAGTGGATAGATTTTTAAATCCTTAATATACCTCCAATGGAAACTAAAACGTAGATATTATTTTAACTTACAAATCAGATAAGTATTTAAACTATGTTGGCATCATAAAATAAGGCTCCTGATAATGTTTATTATGATTTAATAAATATTCCAGATATTGATTCTAAAATTGTTTCTGTTGTAAATTAATAAACTTTTCATTTATGGAACACTGATGGTAGAAATCTACATTATTGAAAAACCAGTTGTCTTAGTCCATTTTCTGCTGCTATAACAATACTTGAGATTGGGTAATTTATAAAGAAAAAAAAATTTATTTGGTTCATGGTTCTGGAGGCTGAGAAGGGTGAGGGCCTTCTTGCTGTGTCATCCCATGGCAGAAGGCAAGAGGGTGAGAGAGAGATCAAGAAAGGGTCACACATGCCTTTTTTTTTTTCTTTCAAAGGGACAGGGTCAGGTGCAGGGGTTCATGCCCATAATCCCAGCACTTTGGGAAGCTGAGGCTGGAGGATTGCATGAGACCAGGAGTTAGAGGCTGCAGCGAGCTATGATCACACCACTGCAATCCAGCCTGGGTGACAGAGCAAGACCCTGTCTCAAAAAATAAGGAGTCGGACCGGGCGTGGTGGCTCATGCCTGTAATCCCAGTACTTTGGGAGGCTGAGGTGGGAAGATCACTTAAAGTCAGGAATTCGAGATCAGCCTGGTCAATATGGTGAAACCCTGTCTCTACTAAAAATACAAAAAAATTAGCTGGACTTGGTGGCACACGCCTGTAGTTCCAGCTACTTGGGAGGCTGGGGCAGGAGAATCGCTTGAACTTGGGAGGTGGAGGTTGCAGTGAGTCAAGATCGCGCCATTGCGTCCAGCCTGGGCTTCACAGTGAGACTCAGTCTCAAAAAAAACCAAAAAACAAAAAACAAAAATGGAGTCTTGCTACTATCTTTACCCATGCTGGACTTGGACTCCTGGGCTCAAGGGATCCTCCCACTTACACCTGTAGCTGGGATTACAGGTGTGTCCAGCTGAACTCACATTTATAACCAACCCACTCCTGCAATATGGAATCCAATCTTACCATTATGACATTAATACACTCATGGAGGTCAGATCCCATGTGACCCAGTCATCTCTTAACATTCCCACCTCTCAACATTGTTGCATTGGAGATTGTTTCCAACACATGAAGACTGGGGACATATTCAAGCCATAGCATCAGTTAAACCTGTCAGCTACAAATTCTCTATATATTCTCACTCTCATCACATCAAAGGATAAAGGATAATTTTAACACTGGTGGGGAGGTTTTTTGTCTTTTAAACAATGAAAATAGATGTCTTTAACTTTGTTTATGTTTATATAGGGCACAGACTATCATGAAGGCTCGTTTAAAGGGAGCACAGACAGGTCGAAACCTCCTGAAGAAAAAATCTGATGCCTTAACTCTTCGATTTCGACAGATCCTAAAGAAGATAATAGAGGTAGAATGAACTTAGAATAGTATTCACTTTGGGAAAATCCAGCATGGCCCTTAGCATTTTTTTTTGGGTTATTTTAATTAAATTTTTTCTTTCAAAAGTAAAAATATCATTATAAGTTTAACAAGTGTCAAATATCAAATAGTTCATTTAATAAAATCCAAACTCTTCAATGTTGCATGTAAAGTTCCACTTGATCTGATTGGCCCCCTGCCTGCCTCTCTTACCTCATTTAGAGCGTTCTTCCTAAGGTCTTCCAGGTACTTTTCATTAGCTCTTTTTCCTGCCTGAAATACTGTTTCCCCAGAACTTATAACTGGATCCTTTAGCTGTTCTAGTCTCTTAAGAGAAGCTATTCCTGTTCACCCAATCTAAAGTGAATACCACGTTTGCTTCTCTCACAATTCCTTATTTTAATTTATTGTAGCATGTACTACTGCATGGCATGACATTTTCTTTTTCTTTCTTTTTTTTTTTTTTTGAGACAGGGTCTTACTCTACAGCCTCAAACTGGGCTCCAGTGATCTTCCCACCTCAGCCTCTCAAGTAGCTGGAACTACAGGTGCATGCTACCATTCTCAGCTCATTTTTTTTTATTTTTTTATTTTTAGCAGAGACGAGGTCTCACTATGTTGCCAAGGCTGGTCTTTTTGACTCCTGGGCTCCAACAGTCTTTCCATCTTGGTCTCCCAAAGTGCTGAGTTTACAGTTTTTGTGTTTTATTTTTAAACCTGTATGTACTTAACAAAAGTATTTTCTATGAGTGCTGTTTTTATTTTTATTTTTTTAGTTTTTGTGGAGATGGGGTCTTGCTTTATTGCCCGGGGTGATCTCAAACACCTGGGCTCAAGCGATCCTTCCACCTCAGTCTTCCAAAGCACTGGGATTATAGGTGTTAGCCACCGTGCCTGGCCCTGTACTACTTTTGATTATTTGTGAAGTTGAGGAGCTTTTCATGCTTACTGGCAATTTGATTTTCTTGGTAAATGTCTTTTTTTTTTTGGTAGAGGTTCTATATGTATTCTGCCTAATGTGTAAAATGTTAAACATATTTTTTCCATGCCTTTTATCTTTTAACTTAAAAAAAAAAAAAAGTTAATACTAGGTGTGGTGACTCATGCCTATAATCCCAACACTTTGGGAGGCCGAGGTGGGAGGATGGTTTGAGCCCAGGAATTTGAGACCAGCCTAGGCAACATAGTGAGACCTTATCTCTACAAAAATAAGAAGAAGAAGAAGAAGAAGAAGAAAATTAGCGGAGTATGGTGGCATGCACCTGTAGTTCCAGCTACTTGGGAGCCTGAGGCAGGAGGATTGCCTGAGCCTAGGAGTTTGAAGCCACAGTGAGCTATGATTACACCACTGTACTCTAGCCCAGGCAACAAAGTGAGACCTTGTCTCAAAAAATAAAAAGAAAAATAAAAAAAAGTTAATTTTTTTTTCCTTTGGTCAAATCTGTTAATCTTTTTCTTTATATAGCTTCTGAGTTACACATAAGGCTTAGAAAAGACCTAAAATGATTAGGAAAAATGTTATATCACATTTTCTTTGGTTACTCTACAGTTTTTTTCTTTAAATCTTTATCTTAATTATGTCTGAATTTTGGGGGCAGTATGATGTGAGGTAGGTAGCTTTATCATTTTGTAAGTGTGTAGACAGTTGAGTGGTCTTTTTACTAAATTTCCATATTGACCTGGGGTTGTTTCTGAACCCTCTAGTCTATTTCATTGACTTAACTGTCCCATACCAGATGTATTAATATTTCCTTATTGTAGCTGTACCTTTTTAATACCTGGGAAGCCAACTCCCTACCCAGCTGACCCAGTTTTTCTTCTATTTCTGAAACATTATTGAATATTCTCAAACATTAAATATTCTAGATGTACTTTAAAATTAATACAGCATTAGGGTTTTGACTGCAACTGCAGTGAATTTAAGAGATTAGTTTGAGTAGATCAGCTTGTACCCATTCAGTAATAAATTAGGTAAAGATTTAGTTTTCTGTTTTTCAGTGCATTTATTCTGTTTTAATTTTATAAAACTCATAGTTTTGTAATATTGTTAGTGATCGTAACCAAAACTGTTAAAAATTGGAAATTTCTATTTTATCATTATCAAACCAATATTTACATGCACAGCCAGCATAAAATACTGATGGTTATTAAAGGAACATAATTATGATGGGATTTTTCCTTGTAAAAGGCTTGATTGAATCGGCTCTTGGTTTATGCTTTTCCAGACTAAAATGTTGATGGGCGAAGTGATGAGAGAAGCTGCCTTTTCACTAGCCGAAGCCAAGTTCACAGCAGGTGACTTCAGGTAAGGAGACCAAACAGGGTGTTTTGAAACAAAACAAAGTGATTTCAGGCTCATCATTTCATTTAAAAAACATTTTTTAATTTAGAAATAACCATCAAGGACAAATGATATAGTAATAATAAGGAAGAATTCTTTTAACCCCATCACCTTAACTGCACTGTCATCCTCCACATGCATTCTTACATAGTTGCAGGTGCAGGATATTTAATATTTTAGAGTCCATTTTCATTTAACATTGTATCATAAACATTTTTCCTTATTTTCAACATGGCTGTATGATCTTTCTCAAGATGAATTTTTTTTTTCTCCTAATGCTGGATATTTGGGTTAATTCTCATGGTTTTGGAATATTAGGGAAAGTGCAGTGAACATCTTTACACATATGTATTTTTGTTTCTACTGAATTATTAGGATAAATTTTTGAGAATTGGATTATTTAAAAGGCCTGAACTTCATGGCTTTGTTGACATCATTAATCCTTTACAAAGCATACAAAATGGCTTGCAAAAGTGTTATGCCAATTTATATATGTTATGTAATTTTCCAAATAACACTGTGAGATAGGTAAGGCAAGCACTGTTATTCTCAGTTTTAATTAAATGCCTTCCTGAGGTCACTTGGCTAATTAGGGGCAGAGGCAGTTGTTGCTTTCAAGAAGTTTCTGATTTTAGTCTTTTCCTAATGACATGATGCCTATTATCTAGGAGCTTTCACTGCTCTTGGGCCTTAATAAGGCCCTTTGAAGTGGTAGGCTTTAATTTTTGCCAGTGCTGGCAAGATCACAGCTTGCATTGAATTTTCTAGCAGAGGGTGGAGATCAATAGTGTATAAGTGGTATTTGAGTGTTTTAGGGTGGTTATGGGAAAGACACTTTCTATAATATTTATTTTCGTTTTGTTTTGAGACTGGGTTATGAGACTGGCTAATTTTTGTATTTTTGAGTTTCACCACATTGCCCAGGCTGGTTTTGAACTCCTGGCCTCAAACAATCCTCCTGCCTCGGCCTCCCAAAGTGCCGGGATTACAGGTGTGAGCTATCGCACCCTGCCAGAAAGGCACTTTCTGGTAACATTTGAGAAGTCACACAAAGCCAGATGCAAGATGTTTCCAGGGTAAAGGAACTGAACGCCAGCTTAATCAATTCAACGGGAAACCTAGGAAGAAGTTTTCTCCATCTTACACTAGTAGAAGAACTCTTACGGTTATATCCATGTGGCACACCTCTGACTGAAAACATAAGCAATCCACGAACTTTAAAATCATTTTTTGTTGTTTTCTTACTGCTAATGTTTTGAATATTGTTCATTCTCTGCTTTCAGAGGCCCTCCTCTGGCAGTAATGACGTTTCTCCCTTTTTGGAAAGAAGACAGTTATCAAAACATACTTAATTGTGACATCTCACTCTTGGTCTCATTTAATGTAAAACTATCCAATGAGTCCCTAGAGGTTTATTTCTAAAGAGTCTGCTAAATAAAGGCTTTCTCTTTTTCTGCAGCACTACAGTTATCCAAAATGTAAATAAAGCCCAAGTGAAGATTCGAGCGAAGAAAGATAATGTAGCAGGTAACGTTTCAACCTTTTAGAAACCCTTTGGGGAGAAAAGAGGTGACATTTTAAAATTAACCTGTTTATACAGCAAGATCTTAATGTCCTAGTTTCTTCCTTCTACTTAGAACAAGTTGATTGGCTTTACATGTTAAAATCATTAATAACCAGGTTTCTAATTACTGAAAATAATTTGACTTTTGTATAGAAGTGAACACTTAAGAAGGCAGGGTCCAGCCAGGCACGGTGGCTCATGTCTGTAATCCCAGCACTTTGGGAGGCCAAGGTGGGCGGATCATAAGGTCAAGGAGTTTGAGACCAGCCTGGCCAACATGGTGAAACCCCATCTCTACTAATACAAAAATTAACCGGGCATGGTGGCATGCACCTGTAGTCCCAGCTACTTGGGAGGCTGAGGCAGGAGAATCACTTGAACCCAGGAAGCAGAGGTTGCAGTGAGCTGAGATCGCACCACTGCACTCCATCCTGGGCGACAGAGTGAGACTTCATCTAAAAATAAAAAATGAAAAATAAGGCAGGTTCCGCTGGATGTGGTGGCTCACACCTGTAATCCCAGCACTTTGGCAGGCTGAGATGGGTAGATCACCTGAGGTCAGGAGTTTGAGACCAACCTGGCCAAGGTGAAACCCCATCTTTACCAAAAAATACAAAAATTAGGTCAGGCATAGTGGCTCACACCTGTAATCCCAGCACTTTGGGAAGCTGAGACAGGTGGATTACTTGAGGTCAGGAGTTCAAGACCAGCCTGGCTAACATGGTGAAACACCATCTATACCAAAAAATACAAAAATTAGGCTGGGTGTGGTGGCTCACACCTGTAATCCCAGCACTTCGGGAAGCCGAGGTGGGCGGATCACCTGAGGTCGGGAGTTCAAGACCAGCCTGACTAATATGGAGAAATTCCATCTCTACTAAAAATACAAAATTAGCCGGATGTGGTAGCACATGCCTGTAATCCCAGCTACTCAAGAGGCTGGGGCAGGCGAATCACTTGGACCCAGCAGGCAGAGGTGGTGGTGAGCTGAGATTGCGCCATTGCACTCCAGCCCAGGCAACAAGAGCGAAACTCCTCTTAAAAAAAAAAAAAAATTAGCTGGGTGTGGTATGTGCCTGTTGTCCCAACTACTTAGGAGGCTGAGGTGGGAGAATCACTTGACCCCAGGAGGCGGTGGTTGCAGTGAGCTGAAGACCACACCACTGCACTGCAGCCTGGGTGACAGAGTGAGACTCTGTCTCAAAAAAAAAAAAAAAAAAGAAGGCAAGTTCCTAAATTCATTAATTGAAACGAATTACAATTCCAGACTTAAGCTCTTGATTTTTGAGTTCGCTGAAAAAGAAACAGAAAACAGTGATTAAGAAACAGAACTTAGGCCAGGTGTAGTGGCTCACGCCTGTAATCCCTGCATTTTGGGAAGTTGATCACCTGAGGTCGGGAGTTCGAGACCCATCTTACCAACACATGGAGAAACCTCGTCTCTACTAAAAATACAGAATTAGCCGGGTGTGGTGGTACATGCCTGTAATCCCACCTACTCAGGAGGCTGAGGCAGGAGAATTGCTTGAACCTGGGAGGCAGAGGTTGCGGTGAGGTGAGCTCATGCCATTGCACTCTAGCCTTGGCAAAAACAACAACAAAAAAAAGAACTTAAAGGTTTGTGAATCCATATACGCTTCTATGTTTAACAGGTGTTACTTTGCCAGTATTTGAACATTACCATGAAGGAACTGACAGTAAGTATGAAACTTTTTATATTACTTTTTGTCTCTGGGATTTCCTGTTTCCTCTTTAAATGAACTAAGTTCTGGAAAATGGTGCTAGATGTTGAGAGGTTCCTGAGTTAGAAATCCTTTTATCTGATATAGTGAGGACAATAGTTGATCAGTTAATCAAAAGGTCTTAAGGCCAGGCACAATGGCTCATGCCTGTAATCCTGGCACTTTGGGAGGCTAAGGCAGGCAAATACCCGTCTCTACAAAAAATACAAAAAATCAGCCGGGTGTGGTAGCACGTGCCTGTAGTTTCAGCTACTTTGGGGGCTGAGGAGGGAGGACTGCTTGAACTGGGGAGGTAGTTGCAGTGAGTTCTGATCATGCGACTGCACTCAAGCCTGGGCAACAGAGCAAAACCTTGTCTCAAAAAAAAAAAAAAGGTCTTATGCTAGGAAGTCATAAAACACTGTACATATCTTTAAATATTTCAGTATTTTATCAGAAATATATCAATGTAGAATCATTTGCTATTTAAAAAATATAAGGCCTTTTGAGTATGAATTCACTGATTAGACTTCTGTGTTGTCTTTCTGTATCCTACACCCACAATGCACTGCTTATAATTACCATTTTGGGTCTCTTTAAAGTCAAATAAGATCTTAGACACTAGGATGCAACCTGAATGCGGATTCTTTTTAGATTTTTATAGCCCACTCCCACTTTTTAAATAACTGTCTTATTCATTCCATTCCTAATTTGACAGCATATTTTCTTTCTAAAGTAAAGTATTAACTTTTTTGATAGAAACAATATTCTTGGCCAGGCGCAGTGGCTCACACCTGTAATCCCAGCACTTTGGGAGGCTGAGGCAGGTGGATTGCCTTAGCCCAGGAGTTTGAGACCAGCCTGGGCAACATGATGAAACCCCGTCTCTATCCAAAAAGTTACAAAAATTAGCTGGACCTGGTGGCATGCACCTGTGGTCCCAGCTACTCCGGAGGCTGAGGTGGAGGGATTGCTTGAGCCTGAGAAGTGGAGCTTACAGTGAGCTGAGATTGCGCCACTGCACTCCAGCCTGGGTGGCAGAGTGAGACCCCATCTCAATAAATACATAAACAAACAAACAATATTCTTTCTTTTGGCACTCATATTTCCTTGTTTCATGTAATATTTAATTAAATCATATAGAATATTAAGTACATTTCATACGAAGAAGTAGAGCATTCTAGAGAGTCACCTGTTCACAGAGTGTCATTGTACTCTCGGCATCAGGCAATATGATTTTCAAAGGGAATAACGGGCATCAAGCTAGTGAAGTGAAGGTTGGTTAAAAGCTTCTAGTTATATTTAGAATAGTATTCTTGTGGAAAACTGTATTTAGTAGCATGCTCCTATAGTGTTTGGGAAGTGAGATAGGTACTTCATGTTTACATTCAATGAAGATTAGTGAATTTGTCTTTCCATATTTGTTATTGTTCTGAATTATCTCCTTTTGGGAAATTTTATAGGGAAGATTATTTACCCTCTAATTACAAATGTTGTCTGACTGGTTCTTTCAGGTTATGAACTGACTGGTTTAGCCAGAGGTGGGGAACAGTTGGCTAAATTAAAGAGGAATTATGCCAAAGCAGTGGAACTACTGGTGGAACTAGCTTCGCTGCAGGTAAGTAGCAAAAGACCTAGAGAACTCTTGTAGTTTGATTTCTAACAGTCAAGTGGAGGAGAGTCTGGTCTTGAGTCAGCATATACAGTGCTTTGTACTTTCAACTGTTCCCATGATCCTATGTAAAACAAACATAATATTTTGATTTCTGAAGTGATGGCTTTTGTACCATTGTCCCTACTTTTAAAAATTTGTTATTTTTTCGAGATGGAGTTTTAATCTTGTTGCCCAGGCTGGAGTGCAATGGCGTGACCTCGGCTCACTGCAAACCTCTGCCTCCTGGGTTCAAGTGATTCTCCTGCCTCAGCCTTCCAAATAGCTGGGATTACAGGCATGGGCCACCATGCCTGGCTAACTTTTGTATTTTTAGTAGAGACGGGGTTTCGCCATGTTGGTCAGGGTGGTCTCGAACTCCTGACCTCAGGCGATCCACCCGCCTCGGCCTCCCAAAGTGCTGGGATTACAGGCATGAGCCACTGTGCCTGGCCCCTACTTTTTTTAATTTAAAAAATTACTTATTTTTCGAGATGGGGGTCTCACTCTGTCACCCAGGCTGGAGTGCCGTGGCATAATCTCAGCTCACTGTAGCCTCAACCTCCTGGGCTTAAGTGATCCGCCCACCTCAGCCTCCTGAGTAGCTGGGACTATAGGCATGCTGCATCACACCCAGCTAATTTTTGTATTTTTTGTAGAGATGGGGTTTCACCATGTCGTCCAGGCTGGTCTCAAACTCCTGGGCTCAAGTAATCAGCCCGCCTCGTCCTCCCAAGTCCTGGGATTATAGGTATGAGCCACCATACCCGGCCCCTACTTGTTATTATTAACAAAATGTATGTGCTATGGTAGACTCTTATTTTTTTTGTTTTTGTTTTTTTTCTTTGAGACAAAGTCTTGCTCTGTTGCCCAAGCTGGAGTGCAGTGTTACGATCTTGGCTAACTGCAGCCTGGATCTCCTGGGCTTAAGCAGTCCTCCCGCCTCAGTCTCCCAAGTAGCTGGGACTACAAGTTTGTGCCACCTCGTCTGGATAATTTTTTAAAATTTTTTAGTTGAAATGAGGTCTTGCTATGTTGCACAGGCTGGTCTCAAACTCCTGGCCTCAAGAAATCCTGCCATCTCAGCCTCCCAAAGTGCTGGAATTACAAGTGTGAGCCACCTCACCCAGCCCAGTTTCACTCTTTGCTAAGTGAGAACAGCAAGTTGATACTAGATTTAAATGTAAATGTAAATAAACATTTTGTGCATGGAAGACCATTTTTTCCCCTATGTGGCCAGTTAGTATATATCTAGGTTATTAGTGCTTGATTCTTTCTTGTCATTTTTATGTTGTTATTTAGGTGAGATGGTAGTAAACAAATTATAATAGTGTCAACTCAAGTAAAGCCTGTTGAAGCAGAAATGATTTGATAAAGGTTTATTGAAAGCCAAATGTGAGGACTGACCCGGAAAGACACCAACAAAGTTGCGTGTGTTCTAGAGTCTGCTACAAGTTGGAAGGCTTTTATGGGAAAGTTTAGGAGAAGGGAGGACGACTCATACCCGAGTTGTCCTTTTCATTGGAGAGTACAATACAGAGGTCACAATCATTGGCTACAGATTGCAAATACAAGCTAAAATGTTCCACATGCAAGTAAATCATGAAGTAAAACTTCATGATTCAGAAACAAATCAGTGTCATTTTCAGCGTCAGTAGGTTGCATATTAATCAGTATGTCAACAGTCTGAGAAACAAGATTTCCTTACTCAGGGACAGGATATAAACCATGAATCATGAGATCTTTCAGCCTGCCCAGGCAGGTTAATTTGGAAACCTACCAAATGTGACATGTAGGTTATCAATAGCATGGAAATAGCATTAGCCCTTTGGAAATCTCACAAGAATTTTGTTTTTGTTTTGTTGTGAAGAGACAGAGTCTTACTCTGTCACCCAAGCTGGAGTACAGTGGCAGTCATAGCTCACTGCAGCCTCAAACGATCCTCCCACTGCAGACTATCAAGTAGCTGGGACTACAGGTGCATGCTACTACACCCAGCTAATTTTAAAAATTTATTTCTTGTAGAGGCAAGGTCTCATTGTGTTGCTCAGGCTGGTCTTGAACTCCCAGCTTCATGTGATTCTCCCACCTCAGCCTCCCGAAGTGTTGGGGTCATAGGTGTGAGCCAAGCGCCCAGCCTAAGAATTTTGTTTTTTAAGCATGCTGAAAAGAAGTTGTCTTGGTTCTCAAGTGTTTTCTATAAGTGCAGTCTTAGTGGAGTCAAGTGATCAGGGAATGATTGAGAAGACTTTGTGCTTACATTATTAATTTGTTCTTACTTTAGACTTCTTTTGTTACTTTGGATGAAGCTATTAAGATAACCAACAGGCGTGTAAATGCCATTGAACATGGTGAGTATAGGTACTCTGAGGTGCTTTGTCACTTGTCCATACCCTCCACTTGTTGTGAAACTGCTAGAATTCAGGCACTGTACTGAAGACTGAAAGGTGAGTAAGATGCTGCCCCTGCCTGCAGTGCAAAGAGAGAAGTGTGTCCATAGTACAAAAAAGTGTTATGAAGTGTTCTGATAGAAGTACCTGTATGATCTGTGGGAGTTACACACATAGGAAAGTGGTGACTTAAAAATTATGGAATGTTTTCTTCATTTCCAGTTATTCATGCCGTTATTTAAGGGTAGGAATATTTCTCAAGATCCTTAGTGTTTTCTTTAGTTCTAATGGTTGAGTGATGTAACTTTTTGAGTACATTAAATATTTAACTTTAAGTCACTATAAACCATTCTCCTTGATTTCTAAAAAATTTTCCTATTTGATGCACTTATTTTCCATCTCTTTTATTTCACTATTTAAAAAATATGACTGCTTAGTGTTGACAGTGCTTTTTGCTCAATAAACTTAGTTTTTATTAAAGAAACACTCAATTTTAAGTAAGAAAGCAAAATTTGAAGTAAATTCCTTTGCTTGGGGCTGTATTAATGTTAGTGAGAAAGTTATCTCATTTTTAAAAAAACTTTTTTGAGTGCTTGCTAGTGCCAGACTTTGTACATGAAAGTGGAAGGAAAAAAAAAAAAGGGTAATTTGTAGTTCTCACCCTCAGAGTTCACATTCTAGAAGCAGAATAGGTAAACTCTATGCAAAGTCAAACCTAATGACATAAACTCAAAATCGAGCATTCTCTCTGCTCAATTTTTTAACAGTTGATTGCTACTATATTTAAAATAACATCTGTGCTTCAATGTTACATATTCATAGAATTCAGCACATTCAGTGTTATATTTGTTATGGTCCCATAGGTTATCTGTGCATAGAAAAGATACTAGAAGGGTATACACCAACGTGTTTACAGTAGTTACTCTTTTGGATATTTGGATTATACTCCATTTTGTTTTTTTTTCTTTGTGTTTTTATTTTCCAAGTTCTCTGCATTAAATGCACATTAATTTTACAATTAGGAAAAAATAACTGGTTATACAAATGAGCACTGATAATTTGAAAAAAGGGGGTTGAAGTTCTCACACATATTATTATTTTTTTTAACTCTAGTCATCATTCCCCGGATTGAACGTACTCTTGCTTATATCATCACAGAGCTGGATGAGAGAGAGCGAGAAGAGTTCTATAGGTTTGTTGAAATTGGCAGTTATTGATCATTTTTTGTTTTCCATATTCCAAAGGCTGTATTTGCTGAATGACTTGGTTTATGTTCTTTAGAATTAGCACAGCTTGTGTTTTATTTTGATAAATAAGCATGAAATATTACCAAAAGTTGTGGAAGCAAATCTGTCAAATTTTACATGGACCTATAACATGGCATTTCCAAAAACTTAGGCCTTTCAGAGAAACTATTTAGACTTAATTTTTAAAAATATATGTTTTAAGATAGTCAAATGCAGTAGTGAAAAGTGGGGAAAGAGTAGAACAAGGAGTTTGATCTGTAACTGATTGTGAATAATAGAGATAACTCACTACCTTCGGACCAGCCAAGACTCAATTATTCTTTTTTTAATTATTTTTTTTTGTATGTGTGAGACAGAGTCTGGCTCTGTCACCCAGGCTGGAGTGCAATGGTGATCTCGGCTCATGTGCCACCATGCCTGGATAATTTTTTTGTACTTTTAGTAGAGATGGGGTTTCACCATGTTGGCCAGGCTGGTCTCAAAACTCCTGGCCTCAAGTAGTCCACCCACCTTGGCCTCCCAAAGTGCTAGGATTACAGGCATGAGCCACTATGCCTGGCTCTTGATTATTCTTTTTTTTTTTTTTTTTTTTTTTTGATACAGAGTCTCGCTCTGTGGCCCAGGCTGGAGTGCAGTGGCCGGAACTCAGCTCACTGCAAGCTCCGCCTCCCGGGTTCATGCCATTCTCCTGCCTCAGCCTCCCGAGTAGCTGGGACTACAGGCACCCGCCACCTCGCCCGGCTAATTTTTTGTATTTTTTAGTAGAGACGGGGTTTCACCGTGTTAGCCAGGATGGTCTCGATCTCCTGACCTCGTGATCCACCCGTTTCGGCCTCCCAAAGTGCTGGGATTACAGGCTTGAGCCACCGCGCCCGGCCCCTGATTATTCTTTAAAATGAAATGATGATTTAGATTGGGTGTCTCCTACATAAAAACTGAGAGAAGAAACTAGAATTCAGCTGTTATTAAACAAATATGTATTTCATGTTGAGTATGTTAAGAAGGTATAAAGCACCTGGAGGCATTACCAAATAGTATATAAATCACGCCATTAGAGAATTAGCACAGCACTTGGGGAGAAATTATGCATGTCCATGAATTGATTATGAACATTTAGAGTCAACAGCGATAAATACTAAACGGGTGGTATACAGGGGTCTGTATACTCAGTTCAGAGAAATGGGAGGTAGGTGAAGGCAAGAGTATTTAGGAAAGACATGGGAGGTCTTCGATCTGGAGTTACCATCTAATTATGGTTTATAATCTTAATTATCAAAGGTTAGTTTCTGTCCTTCCATGATACTCAGGGTTGTGTTGAGCCAAAATTTTAAAAAATGCCTGAATGCTCAAAATCTGTTCCATTAGAGAATGGATTTCAAAATTTAACCTACTAAAGGCTTCTAGGCCAGGCTCGGTGGCTCATGCATGTAATCCCAGCACTTTGGGAGGCCAAGGCGGGTGGATCACAAGGTCAGGAGTTCAAGACCAGCCTGGCCAAGACGGTGAAACCCCCTGTCTCTACTAAAAATAAAAAAAATTATCCAGGCGTGGCGGCATGCACCTGTAATCCCAGCTACTTGGGAGGCTGAGGCAAGGAATTGCTTGAACCCAGAGGTGGAGGTTGCAGTGAGCCAAGATTGTGCCACTACACTCCACCCTGGGCAACAGAGTGAGATTCCGTCTCAAAATAAAAGGGCTTCTATCTCAGGTTAAACCAGTTATTAGCTTAAAATTAGTATTTTTAAAAAAGGGTTATAAATAAATTACTGAAAATGAAATTAGTAAAAAGTGCCAAGTTTTTTTTTCTAGGTATAGGTGTTTATTATCCTTGTGACAAAACTAAAAGAAATCAAATCTACTTAGTATTGAAAGTGTTTAAAAAATGCACCCCCACCTGTATTTTACAGGTTAAAGAAAATACAGGAGAAGAAAAAGATTCTAAAGGAAAAATCTGAGAAGGATTTGGAACAAAGGAGAGCAGCTGGAGAGGTGTTGGAGCCTGCTAATCTTCTAGCTGAAGAGAAGGATGAGGATCTTCTGTTTGAATAATCTTTCCTGTTCTGGTTCTTTTAGAAACCCTAACACTGGCTTCATCTTAATTCATAGTGTGTAGGTTTGATTTGTCTGGCTATTTATTTTTTGGCCTAAGAATTTCACTGGTTGTAAAATTTACCTGGATGTCTGTTTATGGGATTACTTTTGCAGAATCATAATTTAGCAACCATTTATCATGGATGAAAGAGATCTGTAAAACCTGCCCAGGAACTTAAAGAATTTACTCTGAAGCGTTATCCTACTCCATTTACATCTGTGTTACACGTGCTGTGCTTACCAAGCATATTAGGAAATACCTCTTAGGAAGCATTAGTGGTCCCAGGCCAATTACTGTGGAGCAGCTTTCATTCCTACCCTCTTGCAAACCTTGGCGCTGTTGTCTGAAATTGCTGCAGCCATTCTTGTGTTACCATGGTACTTCTCAAACTTTGTGAAAACCTGCACTTTTCCTTGCATGACAGGTCCCTGTCTTGTCTGTCATGGGAGCAGTTCTGCCAATTTAAATGTGACTGTGGTATAAACAGAGTAAAATGATTTAAAAATAAGTCATTCAATTTTTATTAATTTACTGTTAAGTCATGTTCTCATGCTCAGATCAGTAGTGTCAGCCAGAGCTTTCTCTGCAGACATGTAGGAAGTGAGTAGCCATTTTTCCCCCCTCCATGTATTAGAGTTTTACAAAAAGGCTTACTTTGAGACAACTGTTGCGTTTTGGGGTACTAATAAATGATTGCTGGTGAGTTATGAGGGCATTATAATACCTCCTTATTTGCTAATCTAAGAAAAATAACTAGTTTCCATTTTAGAGTAAGAAATAAGGTAACTTTTTACTATTTATAAGTGATAAAAATTTGTTTTCATTTATGAAGATGAGCCATTTGGCCACATCAGGTGTCTGAGGTTTTTAGTACTGTTTGATTTGGCATGAGCCATCCATAATTACTCAGTCTTTCTTGCAACCAGTTCCAGGCATTTTTGACATGACTGGCCATGTTTAGTTCTGAAATTGTGACACTATCTTTATTAATATTGTATTTTAATCAAGTGACGTCACAGTCTAGGTAGTTTTTCTTTTTTTTTTTTTTTTGAAACAGAGTCTCATTCTGTAGCCCAGGCTGGAGTGCAGTGGCAGTGACATTGGTTCACTGCAACGTCCACCTCCTCAGTTCAAGAGATTCTCCTGCCTTAGTCTCCCAAGTAGTTGGGATTATAGTTGTGCGCCACCATGCCCAGCTAATTTTTGCATTTTTGGTAGAGATGGGGTTTCACCATGTTGGCCAGGCTGGTCTCGAACTCCTGACCTCAAGTGATCGGTCCGCCTCGGCCTCCCAAAGTGCTGAGATTACAGGCATAAATCACTGTGCCTAGGTGGTTTATGTTTTACATAAAGTTTTTACTAGGCAGTTTTAAAGTATTAAATGATTTTGCAAGCATTTAACATCTATAAAATAGCAGGTCTTAGTTATGTGCCAGGCACTGTTATTAAGTATTTTGTTTATATTACTTCATTACAATAACCAAAGAGGCACATATTAACCCCCTATTTTACAGAGGAAAAACTGGAGACACAGGAAACTTGAGTAATTAGTCTTAAGTTAAAAAGCTAGAAAGTAGAAAATCCAGAATTTAAGTCTAAACAGTCTACTTTCAGAGTTTTTACACCTTAACTTTTCCTTTCTGTTTCATCTATATTTCAAACTTCGGGTATTTAAAGACATGGGGACTGTTCTGGAGAAGCTGATATTTAGGAAATCTGGTTGGGGCTCACAGAATAAAATCTTAGGTTCAGTGTAAATTCAGTAATGACTGGAAAACCAACAACTCAGTTCACAAGTACTTTAAAAATAGGTAACTGTTTAACATTTCGTCTTCCCAACATCCTGCTGAACTGTAAATTCTACCATCTCCATTTTGCAGATGAGGAAATTGAGGCTTTGACAAGTCAAAGAGCACAGCTGGAATGCAAGTCAAGTATGATTTGATTTAATTTGATCTTTACATTTTAAGCATTATGTACTGCCTTTCTAGGAGGCAAAAATTAGTTTGAAGTAGGGATCCAGATTAGTGGTTTTCCACATTTAGGTAAATTCAATATTCACCTTAAAGCAACAAGCCAAAGGACCCTAGAATTCTCCTGTGGCTTCTTAAAGCCCTGGAATGTACTGGCCTTAGTTAAAATGCCTACAAAAGTGCAGATGATTTTAGTTTAGCATTTGTTAAAAAGAAATCGAGAAAACAACGGACACATAATTTGTTGTGTGGCGTCAGAGTTATCTGAAACGGGAAGAATATAGATCAGGAATAGGAATGGAAAGCTGAACTGCAGTGGCAGGTGTATATATGTAAGAAACTTTTTGTTGGTGTATGATTTATGACCTTTGGGAGATGTATAGCAGAAAAAAAGGAGAAATGAAGAGAAAGTATGTTATATATTTGCCAACAATTCACATGCTGCCTTAGTGTCCTCAAATCCCAGGCTGCACGAGGTCCATTTGCCTGAATATTACATAACTCCTTCTCCAGAAAACTTCCAAGTTCACAGCCTTGCGTTGTCCATCTTTAATACACTTAGTTGTTGGTTTTAATAATTAAGGAAACAGGACCTACCTATATCTGTGCCAACAGGGGGCACTACCCCACTGTAAAGAACAAATCAAAAGGTATTTTGTGTTGTACCCGAAGGATACAATGGTCTTGATTTTGGCAAAAACTTGAAGAGAAGGGTGGTCTTTACATGTGTGGAAACCTTGAGTGGCAGAGCAAATACCAATAGAAATTGCTCAGTGGCTTTTAAAATTTGAAATATAATTTTACTTTTTATTTTTACAATACAGTGTACAGTATGACATCTCAAAATAAGAGTGCAGATACAGGATAAGAGTACAAACGGGGATTAACAACAGATGTCAGAAGGTTACCTTTATTAAGGCTAAATCCCTGCTTTATATTTTCCACACATTCACAAAATTACATTCAAATCATTCCTTATCAATACTTATTTCTTAGGCCACGAGAAAAGGAAAATAATCCAGACATTTGATTTTCATAGAAAGCAAATCTGGATTAGTCTAAATAATATTCTCCATCCATTTGTTCTGACAATGAAAATTTGAGAAATAAAGATATGCACCAACCTTAACACTTCCTTATTTGGATTTTCCAAGTACACTGCATTAGTTATTGATACCATTTCTATATTAGATGGGTAAGACCTCCCCCCTACCAACAATGGGGTCTCCAGTCAGAACCACAGAGGGACAGGAAATAGAATTGGCCAGAGTGGCTGTACAACTAGGTGTACAGCAAGGCTTTTTTCCATATTCTTTTGTGGAGGTCAGCAACAACTCACTTTTCACTTTAAGGACTGTGTTGAATATCAGCACATCCTTATCACTGGGATTTAGAAAAGTTTGGGACATTTCTATCATTGCTGATGAGGAAGGGGAGAATGATAGGACTTCACTGACCTTGAAATATTTATCACCTCAGACTTCCTAAAAGTACAGCATGGCATGGCCTCTGCCTTGGTACAAGATCTACTTGTTAAAGCCATGTTCCTGAATCTTGACAGCACATGGCCCTAGTGCAGGCCTAATGTCTACAGTGGGCACAAGAGCCACTCACTGACACTACCTACAACCTCACTCTAACTTAACATGAACTGCCAATAGTTTAGCTCTTACAGTTGAAAACAGTTGTCAGTTACAACAAGCAGATCACAAAACTCCATTGTCAACCATAGACTGCCCTTCATTCCTGAGAAGTAAACGGAAAACTGAAAAGATTAAGTGCTAAGTATATTCCTTAGCTTTTAATGCCAAAAATCGATGTGACCTGTGAATTTTCCTGGCTCTAAATTGGAGTATTTCAGAGCTGAAGAGACAGTATGTATGGCATTCCTTCCCTCAACCGAAGAATGTTATTTTTTTCCTAAGGAACATTATCTTGAAAATATTTCCACATAAAACACTCTCCAGCCAACTTAATAGGCCATGCAAATTTGAACAGAAAAAGGCAACATATAAACTGTCTATATTTGTTCAAATAAAATTACGTAGAAGAGGAAAAAAATCAAATATATACATGACACAAATTACTCCTTAAACACAATTGCTTATGTTAAATGATGTCAGTATTATTCCAGTGTTTAGCTCTGGGAATAGGAAATGCTGTAGCTAAAGTCACCATAAAAATAAAATCAAGGCATTCACATTTGAGGTTGTTTGTCACACATCACACTATCCTAAAGGCTTGAAAAGGCTGCAAATTTAAGTTTCCATGCCAATTATACATGTTGAATTTTAAAGCTACAGCTATAGAGACAGTACAAAAATCCTATTAGCTTAAATGTTTTTTATGATTTACCAAGCTGTTGCATTCTGGTCATAAGAGGCAGACCTTGTTAGGTTAAAAACCTATTTCTATATACGTAATACTTTTTTCTCTCTAATATTCTTTTCCTAAAATATTCAAATGACTTTCAGGTCTTCCTTTCCTTTTGATCTTAAAGTCAATTGTCATAGTATTTCCCAAGGACATATATAATTTTATTCAGATGCTAAACAAGTGTTTTCAATGACCATTTGTTGATCTATTAAATATTAATATACAGTACAGCAGCTATATTCATCAACAGAATTCCAGTTTATTACCTATATATATGTAGCACAGTCACAGAATACTGTGCTCATACATAAAAATGTAAAAACTGTCAAATGTGCTGTCCTCCCATGTATATAAAAAACTATTAGCATCATGAGGAAGAAACTTTTTAACAGTCAATACAGATTATAATGAATACCTGCCATTCATAAAAATGTAACATACATCCTACTATACTATGCAGATGAGCTAGGTTAGTAAATCAGTTGAGACGACTTAAGAAAAAAAATTCAGAAAATCATAATTTAAAAAAGATCAGCATATTTTGTATACCTTTAAGTAGATTATTAGAGTGTGTTGAGTGTAGAGTCTGATCCACAAAATTTGAGCGAAAAAACTGGTGCTTCTAATGGAATGTTTTTTGTTTTTTTAAGAATTAAAAGACATACAAATGAATTCAAGCCTAACAAAGTAGCTCCAACCCAAAGTGGCACCATTTTGTTTTTTATTTTTCCTTTTTAGGAAAGTATCTCTGATGACTAAATTAGTCTCCTAAGCAAATACTGCCTTGCCCAGTGCATAGAAGCACAATCCCTCTGCTCAATATTCCCAATGAAGTCATTTAAGTGTAAATGATTTAACACTTAAGTGTAATCACATCAATATTTGTGTGAGACATGGACACTTGTGTATACAAGTTTTTCACAGAGATACGACTAAGCAGAAAGGGTTTAGGTGAAAACAAAAGGTTTTAACAGGACAAAATGGAATGCTCTGTTGAAAGCTTCCATTTAGAATCCCAAAATGAGGCAAAAACCGCTAAAGCTATGTATAGAGAATAAAGGATGCTGTGCACAAACTGCCTAAGGGAACTGTCCTCTCACTAATTCAAGAGATCTAAGAACAGATCTACAGCTTATACTGCTGCCTTCCACCCTATCCT